AAGTCAACACCCTCCTCTTGGGTGTACCCCTGTGCCACTAATCGGGCTTTGTTCTTGGTAATTTCCCCAGATTCATCAGTTTTGTTTTTGAAAATCCATTTTGACCTAATCACATTAGAATATGAGGGTCTAGGAACCAGTTCCCAAACATCATTTCTAACAAACTGTTCTAGTTCTTCTTGCATAGCTAACACCCAGAAATCATCACACAAGGCTTCTTTTGCATTTTTTGGTTCTAACCGCGACACATAACACGCAAAATGACACAGGCCAGCCATCTTCCTAAAATCAGGTTTAACACCACGAGTAATACGTTCAGCTATTCCACCTATAATTTGATCGTTAGGATGATCCTTCTGAATTTCGGCAGGTGGGTCACGCCTAAACTCAGTAGGACTTCCTGAGAAAGCTGGAACATTATACTCATCATGAGAGCCAGTAAAAACACCATCCAAAAGTTCTGAATTTTCAGTTTTAATTTCATTCAAAACATTATCAGGTTCATCACCTACAGATTTCTTCCCACTACTAACATCAACCCTGGACACATCAGGAGTAATAACAGTATCAGAAAAATCATCAAAAACAACATTGATTGACTCCATTACTACCTCAGTACGAAGATTATATACACGATAAGCACGACTATTTGAGGAGTACCCAAGAAATTGACCAATGTCACTTTTGGATTTAAACTTACCCAAATGCTCCCTGTCATTGTAGATGTAACAACGACAACCAAAAACATGAAAATATTTCACATTGGGCGCCTTACCTTTCCAGAGTTCGTAGAAGGTGGTTCCAGTACCTCTCCTGCAATATACACGGTTAGTAATATAACATGCCGTATTAATTGCTTCAGCCCACCATTTTAAAGACATCCCTTGAGATACTAACATTACCCTAGCCATTTCCTGCAAGGTTCTATTTTTACGTTCTACCACGCCATTCTGTTGAGGAGTAATAGGTGATGAGAATTGATGGAATATTCCTCGTGAATCACAGAAAGACTCAAATCCACGGTTTTCAAATTCTTTACCATGGTCACTTCTAACAGCAACAAGACTAGTTCTTTTTTCATTTTCCAGTTTTAACACAAGTTTCTGAAATGCCTCAAGAGCATCAGATTTGTTTTTTAAAAAATCAACCCACGAAAATCTGGAAAAGTCATCTATACAAACCATAATATACTTCTTACCGCTGTAGCTCTCTACCTGTATCGACCCCATCAGATCCATATGCATCAGTTCCATAATGCTGTTCGTACTAACCTCTGTCATTCTCTTGTGTGAGGCCCTCTTTGCTTGCCCATCTGACACGATCCGCAGACCCATGATTGTTCTTTCTTTAGCTTTGGCAAGCCACGAACCGCACCTGTAGAAGATAACTCATGTAAGTGTGGGTAATTAATATAACCAAGTTTCTGATGCCAGAGTTCAATCGTATCAACACTGGTCTTATTACATTTCAATTCAAGTTCAACTAGGTAAAAATTGTCCCTAGATCGAGTGCCAGTAAGAACTTGATTGTCCTCTTGATCAGAAACAAAGCATTCAGATTTAGTAAAATTAACATATAAGCCTTGATCACACAGTTGACTAATACTCAACAAGTTAGCTTTCAGATTTTCTACAAGAAGAACATTTTGAAGCTTAGGCAAACCAGGAACATTTAAACAACCAATCCCAAGAACTCTATTCTTAGCACCATCACCAAAAGTCACAGTACTAGAAGACACAGACAAGATATTAACCAAGTTAGATTTAGAACCTGTCATGTGACGAGAACATCTACTATCAAAGTACCAGTCAGAATTAGAAGTGGATTTCAAGGCAAGGATAGACGACAAGCACATGTTCTTACTGCCTTTGGGAACCCAAATCATTTTCTGTTCATGATTTATCAAATCAACCTTTATTTTAGGTGCTTTCAAAGGCACACCAAGTGGACTCCAGTCAACAACTTGACCACTATAAATATCATTTTGCATTCTATAGCATTTAGGTCGGATATGACCACGAATACCGCAATAAGGACATACAGGCACAAAGTTCTTACTTGAATTCGCACGCATTTTTTTAGAAGAGTTGGGCTTACCATTCTTGTCATCTATGTTATAACCTTCTTTTACAAAGGTCAAATCTGACTTCCTCAGAGATGTACTCGGTTCGCCTATCTTACCCTTCAATTTCAGATCACGAAATTTCTTACTCAGATCCGTAACAGACAGCTGTTGACTCATCCTTTGAACTTCAGCAAATGAGGATTTGGGTTTATTAATCATTTTGATGATTTCATCACTCTTGCCGAGTTTCTCTTTCATGGTCGCACAATAACTCCGAAGTGACACACTTTCCTCAGTCACCCTACCAAGTTTTTCTTTTAGAACACCGATCTCGGTTTCTCTTTCTCCCACAAGTTTCTGCACAACAAACAATTCATTACGCAAGGATTCAATGTTAAAGTTCTTCTCATCACTTACCTGTTTGCTCAGTTTGTCGCTATGTTCAAGTAGAGCAATTTTGGCGTGACAACTGTTGAGATCCTTGTCTTGCTTTCCTGCCTGAAGATCAGATTTGATGAGCTTCTCGTTCAAATCAACGGTCAGAGCTCTCATTTTTTGAAGTTCGTTCTTGAGATAAGTAAGGTCTTTCTCAAGTTCTGCTGACCGTTGTTCCAATCGCTTCATCTTCTTTGTCTGAGCTTGATATTTCTTGATGATTTTGGCAGCTTTAAGACACTTCTCTATAGCATACGTGTGGAGCAGAAGGTTCTCTGTAGTAGGATCAGAAAATTCTTCCGGTTTAGAATCACTTGGTTCATTTGTGTGAAAACCTGCATCAGATTCAACATCAGTGAGATGTACAGAGGAGGTAAAGCAGTTATATTAATTAAGTGGACAATTTGCAAAGTTATTAGAGTAGAGAGAATTCTCAGTCTTCTCTGCTTCTTCCTCTTCCTCATCACTGCAGTCGGACCATGTAGCTTTATAGGTTTTGTTCTTCCTTTTGAAATTTGGACAATCTTTCTGAAAATGCCCAAAACCTTTACACTCCCTGCACTGGTCCTTTTCAACACCTTGATTGACATTCTAGAATTTTGACAGCTGCATACCAGGGCGCCGTTCTCCGGACTGCTGTATAAAGTTCTTACCACCTTCAGCAGACTTGATTCCTTGGAACCTTTTCTTCTGAAATTTCTTCAGTTTTGATACGTTCTTGGTAAGAACAGTGAGAGCTTTCATAATCTCGTCAGCATCGAAAGATTCCTCATTCGAATCTTCTTCTTCCACAATCGTGGTACGAACTTTAGCTTTAAGAGCCAAACCTTTTCCTTTGCTTATCTTCATTGAATCAAACCCATTGTTTATTTCAAATGTACGAAGATCACTGAGAAGATCATCAATGCCAAGTGATTGTATCCTCTGGAAGCTCTCCAATGCCGTTATCTTGATTCTAAATCTATTCGGTAAGGTTCTCATCAACTTTTGTACCTGTCTTGCCTCCGATACATGTTCACCAAGCATTGCGCTTTGATTTACAAGATTACAGAAGCGAGCATAGTACATATCTATGGTCTCATCATCTCTCATGCGGATCTCATCATGTTAAGTAGAAATCCTTTGGAGCTTCGAGGTTTTCACAGCATTTGTACCTTCAAATTGTCTTTCCAGAATTCTCCATGCATCTTGAGCACTTGTGCATTGAATAATCATCTTGTGGCGAGTAGGATCCACAGCCGACATGATTGCATAAAGTGCTCGAAAGTTTGCTTCTTCAGCTTGTCTTTCATCATCAGTCCAAATACCTCTAGATTTGTCGACCTGAACACGAGTACCCGAGGTTGAAGTCTTTGCATCCGAGGACTCACCTTCCTTAAAATCAGATGGAACTTTCGGCATCACTGGCAATGACCATCCTGATTCCACGACTTGCCATGTTCCTTTCCCTAGAGAACGTAAGAAAATAACCATCATGGATTTTCAATATCCGTAGTTCGAACCGTCAAGGAACGGGGGGCGCGAAACAGACATCCCATCGTGATTTATGGTGACCAATCATAGTCCCAAAGATCTTTATCCCGTATGTAGAACAGGAACACTACTCTGGTGCCAATTGAAACGTATAAATTTATCGCGAGTGCGCTCAACGTTGTACGAACAAGTATAAAAACTAAAATTTATGGAAGCAATAACCAAAGATTTAAAAACTCTTCAGGGAAGCATCTCACTTCCCCTCAGAGCTCTTTCATTGATAGCTATCAAAAACATAGTTTGGACTTACACAATAGAACTCCCTTCTATTCTAGCCACAACTATGAACTAGCATATCAACTAATTCGCCGGCCACGTCTCGTGGACTTATTATCTCACACTTACTCCCTAAGTGTGATTCCCAAAATGTTTGAATCAAAATAAAGTAAAGAATACAACCAAAATGATTTCAGTTCTTTTATCGCGGAGTGTATAAAGAAGTGAAATTAATGAACAAAATCTGTAAGCACTTAGACTTGAGGCTTGAAGATGACTCTAGAGTGAAAAAGATAATCAGCAGCCTCTTTTGTTCTTCAAGTCCGAAATATATCAATGCACTCCTTAGGGTTGGAGTCTTTTCCAAGCATAGGACTCCAATCATGATTTCCTTCCTAAAATGTAGCATGTGAAAATGGTAAGTGATAATCTTCTTTTCTCTCTCCAAGATCTCCTCCATAAGCACGCCTCTCTTTCCTTATTGCCTCAGGATCCGATTTCCTACAATATATAAACACATAATAAGATCAAGTATTCCTTCTACATAACATAAGATAATTTAGGAAACGTGAATTACATAGAACTTCCCTTATTTATGAATTTAATGCATGCAGGAACTTCCTTTCGAACTCATGCCAAAATATTGTGTCTTTCATAGTCGTTCGCCGTTGCCGCTCGTTGGTCCCCGAAAACGTCAGTGACCGTCGTCGTCCCTTCTTTACATCCACCGACCTTGCCGCTCAAATCCGACGTTGAGAAGGTCGTCTCCTCCGGCGACACCAGCCGGAGGACCTTTCAGACACACGACAGTTAAATTTTTCCGATGCTCTGCCGCCGCGTCACCGCAATCGTCTTCTCTTTCTTCACACACCATGGCAAAATCAGATCCAACAAACCTCGTCACATTGTTAGTTCGGTCAGAAATCGAGGCAGCGATGCCGACGACAGTGAAAAAGAGGAGGCCGCGACGAGAACGAGGAGGTATAAGGGCGACTGTCGATCTTCGATCGAGGGGGATGACAAAAACTACACAAAAATAATAATAATAAAATAAAAATAAAATCAAATTTTGTGGGGTTAATTTTAAAAATTAGATGAGTTTCAAGGGCTAATATGTAATTTTAGGAAAATTATATTGTAATATAATATAATTCATTCGTAAAGGGCAAAGTATTTCGTATGAACAGACAAATTAAAAATATAGTATTAGAGAATACACATTATTGTTAGCCGAAGTTAGGGCTATAAACGAGCCGAGCCGAGCTCGAGCTTAGGGTGTTCGAGCTCGAGCCTCTAACGAGCCGAGCTCGGCTCGGCTCGTTAAATAAACGAGCCTGAAATCGAGCTCGAGCTCGGCTCGTTAAGGCCTCGAGCTCGAGGCCTTAACGAGCCGAACTATAAAAATTATATAAAAATTCAATTTTCGAGCCTTAACGAGCCTTATCGAGCCGAGCCGAGCTCGGCTCCTTAGCCAAACGAGCTATAAATGAGCTCGAGCTCGGCTCGTTAAGGCACGAACTCGAGCCGAACTCGAGCCTTAACGAGCCGAGCCGAGCCAGACTCATTTAATTTAACAGCACTAGCCGAAGTGCACACTGATGACTGTGATAATGCACATTAGCGTGTAATTCTCAAACCAATTATAAGTGAAACATAACAAATATTAAATACATATATTAAAATACTAAATAATATTTTTATGACATAAATAATATTTATTTCAATTATTTTGGTTAATTGGGTAATCGATCAATTAAACTAATTATTTCGATTAGGTGTTTATTTTGGACTTGAATAAAAAACTCACACTGCAAAATGCACAATATTATTAATCATGATGCACTTTAGGGACTGACGTACTGCACAATAGTGTTAGACCAAATGCACGTTAATGCGTTTAAAAACGCGCATTAACATAATAATGTATTCCGTTCAATGACTCGGCGTGACGACAATAAAAGAAAAAAATGGTGTTATGCTAGTGTGCATTTTAACATATATATTTTAGTTATTTTGGTTCGGTTTCGACTTTATTTACAAAAAAAGAAAAAGAAAATTGAACTAACATAGTCAACTGAATTATATAAAATAAAAAATTTATTGATGCTACTGGAATATGATATATTTCACAAGACATTAATACTAAGTATATTTTTAAAAAATAAGTAATATGTTATATCAATTATCTTGGTTAATTCGGTTAAACAACCGAATAAACCAATTAATTGGGTCCAATTATAATTTGGTTTGAGACAAAAGTTCAACCGTTTCGGATTGCACAATATCGACCGATATTGTGCACAATATAGTTAGACGAATTGCACATTAATTTTATCAAGATGCACAACAACAATCGAACTAAAAAATTTGGTTCAATTTTTTGGTTTGATCGATTATTGGTTTCGTACTTTTAAAATTCCGTGACTTTTGACAATATATATATATATATATATATATATATATATATAAATTATTGAATAAACATATACAAATATCAAAATATCAACATCAACCGATTAAGAATAATGTGTATATATTGACCGATTTTTTTATAATATCGGTGACAATCGAGTACACATTTAATAAATTGTTATTTAGTAATATATTTTTCAACCCATATAATAAACATTTATAAAAATCGATCGTTCAGTGTTTTTCAAAAAATAAAAAATAAAAAATTAATAGTTTATTTTGGTTTTCCAAAATTTCGATCGATGAACAATATTATCGATTCCATAATTTATTCTAACAATTAATGTGCATGTACACGCACTATAATTTGCATTATACTTCAAATTATTGTGCATTATTAATTTTTTGTTAAATTATAAATTTTGCCCATAAATTAAATTGTAATAAATTGAAATTTATGAAATTGAATGTAAATCCTTGAGGCTTGTATTAAATAACTAATTTACTTCATTTCAAAATTGAAAAATACTGAAAGTGGATAAATTGCAATTAGATCCCTCAAAAGTATCAAATTTTTTCAATAAGAGCCCCCACTTCATTTGAACAGATCTGAATAATCCCGTACATAATCCTCAATCCTCAAACACATTTTTGTGTCTTTTCCGACCACTGCTGCGGGCGTCTTAGCCTCCGTAGATTAACCCTCTGACACTGTAACGCCCCACTTTATTTTAAAGATTTATCGAATTTAATTAATAAAAATCAGAGTTAATTTTTCGCAAATCTCATATTATATTTAAAACTCAGTGGGCGCTACTTAATTACTAAAACCTTTTAACCCAAAATAGAATTTCATCAGTTAAATTTAGAACTTGTAAAATAAATAGTCATAAAATTCTAATAGCGTTCAATAATTTCCCAAAACATGAATTTTTAAAACAAAATCAATATTCCAAAACAACCAGTAAAGGAAAATCCAAGTGAACATAAGTTCATAAAATTCTTTCGGAAGCAGAAATAAATAAATAAATAACGACCGCCCACTCGTCTTGATTCGTCATCCGCCAACTGCTTAACCTGCATCATTGAAGAGCAGGTGGGAGTGAGTACAGTTAACTATCGTACTCACACTATGCATATGAATAACATTTAAATGGTATGGTCGCAGCATGAACATAAACAATAAAATCATGTCACATCTCTAGTCACATCAATGACTCTAGTCTCATTAAAGACTCACTCATGTACTTCTATGTTCATCAAAGCTAAGCCATGCCATATCAGTGAAACATGGGAGTGCGTGCCACATCAATGACACGGCCTTCTCATAGGTCTTTATGAGATTTACCTCACAGGGTAACCGTATCTTATCATACGGGGTCAACCGTACCGATGACCATCAAGCTCACATCGATAGGCTACATGTTCATTTTCATACATAGATCACACCAAACTTTCATCAAAATTAAAATTACGCATATGCATAGATAATTTTTGAATAACAACCCACCTGGTCGGAGTCGAGACAAATCACAAAATGAGTTTAGGCAGCGAGTTCGACTCGTCAAGCACCTACATGTAATAAAATAGTTCTATTAAAGACTATTCGACAACTACTTAATCTAACTAAGCTTACGTAAGCATTTAAGCAGGCATTAAATCAAGGAAATCACATTTCCGAAAATATCACATAAGTTTTGAAAACTTAACCCGGGCAACGTTTGTAAAACCGACACAACTTTCAGCACACAACTCATATGATCATGAATCAAGTTGCATTGGAATTCTAAGACATGAATCTAAAATTCTTATGAAGACATCAAAGCAAATAAGGCCATTTAGTAGGTGATAAATTAACAAACATTCAAAAAATGAGTCACAGTCCAAAACTGGGTAATGCACTTAACCAACCCTCAATAATTACTCTCTAACTGGAGCTACACTCATGCTTTTAATGAAATTCAAAAACTACATGATAGACAACTCAAACGTCTACAACTTTTCTGAAGATCACTTTGGCAAATAAACACATTTTTAATAGTTTAAACACAAAACATTTGGTTCAGCAAATCTATCAAAAACTAACATATGATATGGACAACACTTCAGTATTTACAACCTAGATTGAGCTACAGATCTCTAAATGACATGATTCAAATCTCAAATTAAACCTTAAGCATGCCTCTACAACTTTCATTTAGAACAGAGAAGCATTTAAGATCATTTTGATAGGTTAAAATCGGTTCACATTCCATATCAGATGTCTGTCCAAGTAATAATTTACAACTCATGCATGTCTAACTTTATACGAGCACAACTCGAGCTACAGATCACGTATCGACATAAAATTTATCTCATTTGAAAGGTAAGAAATCGATATATAACTTTCATGAAGAGTATAAGTTCATACGAGCACATTACGATATGATAAACAGGTCACACATTAATTACAGATATGCTGCCGGGTAGTAGGAAAACTGAACGCGCAACATTTTTGTAAAAATCACAACTTATTCGATATAACTCGAAATCGAGAAATTCCAAATCCCAGGTTTAGAAAACTGAACATACTACATTTCATGTGAAGACCACATTTTCAAAGAACAGGTTTCTAATGGCCTAAAAGGCGGCACAACAGAACAGCAGAAACGCGATTTCACATGAAATATTAATGAACACATATGACGAATGTTCTAAGCTCGACCATGATTATTATGACTTTCTCGACAGCAAATAAACGAGCATATTGAGGTTCAACATGATACTCGGTTTAACTAAGGTCACGAGCATAATTCAATAAACGAAACGACATATACGAGCCGGTAGACATTCGAAATAAATCCGACTTCAAACGAGAATTCGGAAACACGTATGATATATACATATATATCTATCATGCAATATACGAATACGACCGGAATAACGAGAGGGTTCGAAATGAGTTACCCACTTTCGAAAATTCACGAACTAACGGAGGAAAAACGGGCCGAACGACGGCTCGGCTGAACGGGACTCGAAAAAATGAAATGAAAAGAGACGAACGGCACGTCGGCTCGATGGCTTCTCGCGTCTCGCCGGAAACGAAAGTGCAGCAGCGGCTGAGGATGAGTCGTCGCTGCCGCTGGTCGCGAGCTCATTGGAAAAAGTCGAGAAGCAGGGTCACCGGCAGGGTGAAGCTTGCAGGCGGAGGAGATGCTCGCGGAGAAGTCGAACTCGCCAGAAAAATTTTTCGGTTGCTGCTACGGAGGAGCTCGCAGGTGGTGATGACGAGCGGCGGCAACGCTGCTTCGTGGAGGAGCTCGCCGGACTGAAGCTTCGCTGGAAGAAGAGCTCCTGCTGGCCGCGACGTGCTGGTGGTGAAGGCGAGAGAGAGTTGCAGAGGCTCGCCGGACTGAGAAAAACTCGGGGAAAGAAATTTCGTGTCGGAATTAATGGCGACAGAAATTTGAGAGGAAGATGATGGTGTTGACAGAAGATAACACACTGAACGTGGCGAGAGATAGATGAGAGAAATCAGATTTATCAAGAAGAAAACATGTGAGGTATGAGAGATTCCCGAATCAAGATCGAGAGCTTAGATGGGAAGAAGGTGATTTTCACGTTATCATGTGAGAAAGGAGAGATACAAAACTTGTATCTATATGCTAAGAATATAAATAAACTATTCTTGATTTTAAGAGAAAGCACACGCACACACACTCACCTATTAAATGAACCGGGTATAATCGGGCTCGATTAATCGCATGATAAAAAAATAAAAATCAAAAAATATTTATTTAATACATACATTATTTAAAATAATAATATTTATAATAATAATCTTAATTAATTCGTAAACAACGGATTTACGAATCTGCTAATTTTCGACCACTGGTTATCGGACTCAATTTCATAAATTCAGAATAATCATAATGTTCGGAAAAATTAAATATGACGACTCGTAAATCTTTTAAATTCACGGAACCGACATTATATATATTTATTAGCGCACACAAATAAATACATTATTAAGTAATTATTTAACTTTGGCAGTAAAATAAATAATACTGGTAACATATCCGTAAAATTCATTTTTCAATCGGATTTTATTCGGTTCACATAACTAAGCTGAAATCGTCGTACTACAACCGTTTTCCAATAAAAAGATCGAGTACTCAAATATTTTATTTAAGTCGACATAGCGACCAAATAAAATAATTATAACCTTATAAATAACATTTGATAGATAGAATATCCCGAGAAATTCTATAAACCGAACGGGGTGTTACAATCTAGTCCCATTAATTATTTAATACGAATAATAAACATTGAAAATTGGCATTCATTAAAAAAAATAATAATAATAATACATAATAAACAATCTCAAATAATCCCTTATCTAAAATAAACGGACCAGAATAAAATCTAACACTGGCCCAATTACAGAATAGAACATAACCGAGAATATATTTATATATATAATCACATAATCAAAGAAAATTAGAAAAAAAAAATCTAATATTCAAATGGGGCATTACAGACACCTTCATCCTCTGAATCTCGACGACAAGCAGCCGCCGCCGGTAGAAGTGGTGGGCGTTGCTGACATTCAGTAAGTGGGCGCTATACGGTTTGTTGTTCCCCGACAGAAATGGTGGATTGTTTTGAGGAGATCCGGCAAGGTCACGGCGTTGGCCGTTTTTGTTTTTTTGGCCGCCGGGCTGAGATTGAGGACGCCGGCCATGCCAAGCGTGGTTGTTGGTAGCGGACGGATTGGATGCTGAGGCAGTTCGGAGACGGCGGAGACATGGTGGACGGGCCTGCTATTATGGCTGACGACGGCGGGGCACTTTGGTGGCGGCGGCGGGCCTGAGAACGCGGCTGACGTGCGGTGACGGTGGCGGCTGCATTCTCGGCTGGTGGAGGCGACGAACAGTGACGGCGGCGAACAGTGACGACGGCGGTTGGGCTGAGCAAGCGACTGACGTGCGGTTGTCGGATCAGATGACGCCGTAGGAGTGTGCGTGTGCTATATATATATGTGCGTTACAGTATGTGTAACTGAGAGAGAGAATCTAGTTAGTGTGTAACTGCGAGAGAGAGAGAGAATTTGGTTGGTTGTTTGGTGGTGGGCCCCACCTGAATGTGTAATGTCTTTTTTATCCGTAGTGAGTGGTCAAATGTATATATTTGACCATAAATTGCACATTTATTTACGAAATTGCCATTACATGTTTGACTGCTATAATTAAAATTTGACTTGATCACTACCATTGATATGTTGAATCCAATGGTCCGAAATTATTCTTATTTATTTCATTATCTACCATTCTCACATGATCCTATATATATATATATATATATATATATACATACAAAGAGAGAGAGAGAGAGAGAGAATGAATATATCAGAATGGTAGATAGTGATAGAAATTAGAAAAAAGAATGATTCTGAACCAATGGATCCAGCATATCAATGGTAATGATCTAGTCAAATATTAAATATGACAGTCAAACATGTAGTAACAGTTTTTTAAATAAATGTACAATTCGTGGTCAAATATTATCTTTTGACTACAAATTAAGGATAAATTGGACATATGTTACCATGCACTAGCATGTGGATTCCACCACCGCCCAACATTATCTCCAACACCCACCTACCCGTTTTCTACCTACCCCATTCATCATTATATTTCACTTTCAAACACACACACGCACAAACACACACTGCACGCACACACCATTCACACTCATGACTGGGCACACTGCCGGCCCACTAGATCCGCCGCCCGGCAACGGCTGGCGGCAGACGATGGTGCCACCACAGTATCCCTCTCTCTCCAGAATTCCGACACTCTCGGTTACCCACCCCGCCGTCGAGCTTCCCCAGCCTCCCCATCTCAAGAAATCCGGCGGTCACGGCCACGCAGCCCCGCCGCCGCGCCTCCGATCCCCATCCCAGCCGACGCGTCTCCTCAGCCCGTCTGACGCGCCCCGATAGCCTGGTCACTGAGCATCCACAGCCCCGCTTCTGCGCCACTGTCGCCCGTCATCGGAGGCGATGATGATGGCTGTCGAACATTGTATCTACCGGGTTGGTCGGCAAGATGGTGATGGCCGTCAGCCAGACGCTTCCCAGGCGTTGGCCACGGGTGCTGAGATGGTGACGGGGATCTGAAGCGACGGCCAACGCGGTGGCTGTGAAAGATGACCAGGACTGAAGAGTTACGTTTTTGAGATTTGGACATTAATGTGTGGTCTTTTTTAAAAAAAAAAAAATAGATATAGTACAACGACCATTTGCAATTAAAAAAATATTATTTAGATTTGGATCCTGAATTGTGATTTTGAATGATGCACGCATGTTATTGTAATGTGTTGTTATTGTTTTGGATTTTGGGATCTGTTGGGGGGATTTTAAAACCAGAACTTAAGTTTGTAATTTGGGCCAACTTTTGATAATTCGATAAGCCTCAAGGACTTAAGTGCAATTTTACATATTTTTGATGTATTAAATTTGAATTTATGTGTTAAATATGTAATTTATTAAAATTTTTATAATTGGACATTATTGTGCAAAGCATTGCACACTGCTGTCCAATTCATTGCACATTACTGCTCAATTCATTGCACAATATTAAAAAATAAAATATTATTTGATAAATGCACATTATAAATTGAATAAAACATAATTGAATAAAGAAAATATTATTTAAAAATAAATTTGTTTTTTTTAGTTATTTGAAAAAAAGCCGAACTCGAACTGAAATATACGTGATTTTAGAAGTAAAAACAATTTATCGAACCGAAAAAATTAATTCAACCGATTAAGTGCAATTCGATATTTATTATTGTGCAATTCATCTAACAATATAGTGTACTTACAGTGCATATATTTTTAATAATTTGTTCTAACAAAAATTAAAATCGAATTTAAATAATCGGTAACCGAAATACTATAAATAATATAAATAACTTAATATTTAAATTATAAAAATATATTTAGTACTTTTAATATTTATATTTTATATTTTTCTAGATAAAATAATATATATATATATATATATATATATATATATATAAACTATTTTTATATAGTTGGAGAAAAATCTAATCCTCCCAGCTCAACCACCGCTCCAAGTCGGGCCTATCTCCCAAGTTCCACCTGAGGGGGCTCCCACTGCAGAGGTGGTTGAGGTCGACACGGTTACTACTGCTACTGAGCCAAAATTACCCCTCCCGAGCGAGCAGCAACTCAGGTTACCCGGACCTTGGAAGATTCAACTTATCAGTCGGAGCTCATTAAGCTCTATTGTAATTTATTTGCTTTATGTAATGTTTATACTTTTTTATGTTGAATGAGAGTACCATGTTCCTCTTCAATGAAACTTGTATTTCCTCACTAGAGCCGTTTAAAGGCCCGCGACCCGCGGGTCTCCCCGCAAAAGTGGCGGGTTGGTCTTGGTTTTTTTAGGCCCACTAAACGGGCCAGCCCGCGTGGGCTGCGGGATGGGGCGGGGGCTGGCCCACCCAATTAAAAAAAAAAATGTACTTCCTGGTTTGCTCCCTCGCTCGTACTAACATGTGATATAATATATTTGTTAGAATATCACTTGTGAGTTGTCCCACATCATTTATACATGAAAAATAGACTCACCTTATAAGTCTAATGGACTACTTCTCCTTCCACCAATTGGTTGGGATGGAACCCCACTTGGGCTTCATCTGGGCTTTCCCTATTGTGGTGACTGTTTTCCCCCTGTTTCTTACATGGTATCAGAGCCGGTTCTATGTGTGACTGTGTGATGACGTACCCGTTTTCCCCACGTACCTGTTTATGTGAGTCTATTTCTAGTAGGGCTTGGGGCACCCAGCTCTATATATGGACTTGAGCTTCTTATTAAGAACTTTCAAGTGAGAGGGCGTGTTTGAATATCATTTGTGAGTTGTCCCACATCGTTTATACATAGAAAATAGACCCACCTTATAAGGCTGTGTTTGGTAGACCACAAAACTAGCTTATAGCTTATTTAAGTAGCTTATAAGCTACTTTAATTTTAATAAGCTTTGTTTGGTAACATGAGCTTTTTTTAAAAGCTCGAGCTTATTTGAAAAGCTTATAATACAACATACCAACTTTTTACTTTTATTCCACTTTTATATTATTTATTTTCATAATATTATAATTTATATGAGTTTTTTATTCATTCTCAAATTCTCTATTCAGGATTTCTCTCCCACACAAGATTTTGCGCAATTTTCATCGCCTGCAAATTTTTGTCGAGCACAAGAACTGGTGCATCCCCCAACTCTTTGTCGGCAGTCATCATCTACAAAAGAAGAGAGGTGATTTTTACAACAATTTTTTTCTTCAATTTTTGTATTTTAACTGTTTGTTGTGCGAAATCCATTGGAATTCATAAATTGGAACTCTTTTCGCCTGATGGGTTGTTGTTCGGAGGAGGAATTCATGATAGCTGGAATATAATAAACTCTGCTTTGTTTGTGTGGTTGGTTGGTTTTTGTTGATTTGTGCTTTATTTTGATTTTTTCACTGGTTGAATTTTATGAATTTATTCTCAATTGATTACTTGAACCTTTTGTTTATGATTATTTGAGCCTTTTGCACATCACTGCTTGTAGTTTTTTTATGGATATTTTTGGTGATAAGAACATGATTCTTGTTCAATAGATGTGGGGTTCGCGATTTATATTTTATTTTAATTTTTTCTTTCACTTTACAAAAATTTAACTAATTAACTTGGATATGTTGGTATGAATTCAATATTGATATCTTTTTGTGAGTCCATATAGTATTAAAAAGATATTTAATCAATGTAGTGAAACATGAAAAAAATATAGTGCCAAATATTTACTGGGCAGAATTCAATAGTGATCATGTGCAATGATTTGTGGGCTTTCTGATGCAAATAAAACCTGGTTTATGCATGCTAAGAACATATTTTAAATTGTAGAAATAGTTGGTGAATTGATTCTATCTTAATTTTTAGACATTTGATAGCTTATGTGTTTTTTGGACCCATAATATGAATTTTCAGTATTAGTATTTTTTTTATTTTTTTTTGGCTATTCTCTTGTTTGGAATTCTTATGTTAATAAAAATCTTTTTTTATTTTATGATTAATAGGTACACAATGGACGATGATCAAAGGAAGAAAATTCTTTTACTATTAGAATTGGGTAGTCAAACAAGTTCGATAGTTGCGTACTATTTCTATAGTCATATCTATAAAGAACCATGCATGATGTCTTGTCAAACAGGAGAGATTTGGATGAGAGAAGTCTTAACCGGACATCCAATTCGATGTGTTAATGCTTTTAGAATGAGTTCAAGTGTATTTATGCAACTATGTGAAGAATTGAAAGATAAGTATGATTTAAAAGCAAGTGATAAAATGTTAGTTCATGAAAAAGTTGGTATATTTGTATATATCATTGCCTTGGAAATTTCTAATAGGGATGCTAGTGAGAGATTTCAAAGATTAGGAGAAACAATTAGCAGAGCATTTCATGACGTTTTAGAATCAATAAGTGGAAGAAGCAGGAAATATAATGGTCTTGCACGTGATGTTATTAAACCCAAGGATCGAACTTTTCAATTCATACCACCTCATATATCTAATGATACTAGATATATGCCATACTTCAAGGTAATAAATCTCTTACAAATTACAAGAGTAATAATTATTAATTTTCTTTTTTTGTCATAGACACTAACGATTTTTATATGTATGCAAGATTGCATAGGCTGTATTGATGGTACGCATATTGAGGCATGTATTCCGGAAAAAGAGCAATTGCGCTATAGAGGAAGAAAAGGAATCCCTACTTTCAATGTCATGGCCTCATGGGACTTCTACATGTGTTTTACATTTACATCTGTTGGATGGGAAGGATCAGCACATGATACGCGTGTCTTTCTTCATGCAATCGAGACATCTATGAACTTCCCGAAACCTCCTGAGGGTAATTTATTATTTTTTTTTATAATTGTATACTAATAAATATTAAATATGTCCCCTAAATTTAAATTATGTTATTTTTTAACAGGTCGATATTACTTAGTTGATAAAGGATATCCAGATCGAAAAGGATATTTAGTTCCATATCTGAGGATAAGATACCATCAGTTTGAATTCCAACACGAGTTGCCAAATAATGCAGAAGAAGCATTCAATCGGGCTCATTCATCTCTTCGAAGTTCCATCGAAAGATCTTTTGGAGTATTGAAAAAGAGATGGAAAATATTAAGTAAAATGCCTAAGTTTAGTGTTGATACGCAAATTGATGTGATAATTGTTCATGTGTGATTTTACACTATATCTATATAGTATCTAGAGCTTATTCATTGAATTATTGGTGTTTAAATTGCATTATTGTGTTTTTATTTTATTCTTGTTGGAAAGGTATTACACGTGCTTGTTTTGTAGATATTTTCACATATTTGTAGAGCTAGTGGCTATTGGAGGCGCATGGTGAGTACCCAAAACTCCCGGGATGGTGAAAGATTGATGCACGGATAAAAAAATGGAAGAAACGAGTGAAACGAGCAAAAATGAGAGTGCAGATTTGTGACACGGGCAGTGACACGGGCATCATGCCTGTGTCAGGGGCCGTGTCACCTCAACAGAGACAATCCGTAGCCTGGGAGCTGACACGGGCAACGACACGGACCGTGACACGAGTAGAATGGCCGTGTCGCGCGCGCAGACTGGTTTTTATTTCTTGCCTATTTTGAAAAGGAGAAGGGTTTTGGACATTATAAAAGGCATATTTAACCTACTTTGAAGGGAAGAACGTGGGATACACAAGGAGGAGGCCCTAGAACACACAAGAGAAGCAATTGGGAAACAAAAGAAGATCCAACTACAAAGGGATCAACAAGATTGAAAGATCGACGAGATTTCTAGTTTTTATTTCTTCTTCCTTTTGAACTTTTATTGATCATGTTGATTTCTAATATGTCTATGTATTTGAATTCGAACACGATTGGCTAGATTATTTGATTCTAGGACTTGCTAGTAGATTAATATGTTGGGATTTTGGATGATTTATTTATAATTGATTGTTTTTTTTTAACCCTATTCAAATATTTTGTTCTTATTTCATGTTTAGCACTTGATCAATGCTTTTACATGTTTGACAATATTGTTCATAATTCGAGAGATGAGTTCAATATTAAGTCTTTAATATTTGACACAATTTACTTGCTTGAATCGAGATATTAGTAGGTCATTGTGAGCATATTAGATCTTTTAATCTATTTGGAGTTGAATTGCATGTGTTGAGGGAGACGCTGATATATGTGATTTAATCTACGGTTTTATCGATCTCGAGAGGGACGATAAGCTAAATTTGTGATTAACTTATAGGGTAGATAAATGAAACATTTAGTTGTGATATTTTTGAAGGAACACAACTATTAATTGAAACCAAAGTCTTAGAATCTATCATTCCCATATAAATATAATAATCAGACAAATGCATGATTGTTTGAGAGTTGCTCACGTATTCACTCTCAAACAAATAATCAGGCAAAAGCAATCTGCTCAGGTATTAAAAAAATTAAAAAATAAAAAATTGCAGGCCTAGCCCGCTAAACCCGCGGCCCGTGGCGGGGCGGGTTGGGCCAACTTTTCTCAGGCCCGTCCCGCCCCGCCAAAAGACGGGCTATGGGCCAGCCCGCCCAGCTGGCCTGTTTTGGCAGCTCTATCCCTCACATTGTCATACTTTATTTGTGCTCTTTGATTTCCATTTTTTTTTTTGTTTTTTTGTACTATTGAGGTGTATAAATTGAACTTCATACTTAGAAAAAGTTTTGTGTATCTCAAATTAAGAATACTCGTGTTGATAGACCGTCCACTGAGGTCACCAAACTGAGTAATTTTTCAATGTTCGCAACACTACCGAATCTGGTACAACTTTTATTAACTCGACTTGCCTCTGAGGTCTACTAAATTACCTCCATAGTTATAAATTTTCATAATCCATCACTAAGATTACCTTGCTCGTTTGACCTTCCACTGAGGACTCCAATATTGAATCTATGCTTAAAATAAATCCATTAAGATCACATCATAGAACCGACCTTCCACTGAGGTCTTAAAGTGAAATTTCATATGGTGAATTTCACTATTTAAAATGCAGTCGTCATTCGAGCTCCATTTAAATCGAGCTGTTGTCACTAGAGTTTCTTTAGAAAACTTTCAACTTGTGCTTTGTAAGTTAAAATGTAATTGTCACTCGATCTGGAGGTCACTTAAACGAATAGCCAACCAGGTCGAAAGCCTTAGTTATACCAGATTGATTTTTTCCATCACGGCTCCAATACTTTCCCAACCTTCCTCTAAGGTCGTTCAAACAAGCGAACGACTAGCTTAAAAGCTTAGTCATGTCGGGTTTTATGCCACCAAGGCTCCCACACTTACCCAACCTTCCTCTGAAATCGTGCAAACAAATGACCGGCCAACTCGAAAGTCTTAGTCATGTTAGGTTTTGTCTCGGCAAGGCTCTAATTTCAAACAAGCGCCAGACGAACTCGAAAGCCTTAATCATGCCAGGTTGTATCCTCAAGTCTTTAACATTCGCCTGACCTACCTCTAAGGTCGTTCAAACGAATGACCAGCCGACTCGAAAGCCTTAATAATGCTTGATTTTTATTAAAATATTCAACATTCGCCCGACCTACCTCTAAGATCATTCAATTGAATGACCAGCCTGCTTGAAAACCTTAATCATGCTAGATTTTTGCTTCAAGTCTTCATTATTCACCCAACCTACCTGTGAGGTCGTTCAAATGAATAACCAGCCAACTCGAAAGCCTTAATCATGCTGGATTTTTTCCTCAAGTCTTCAACATTCGCCCAACCTACCTCTATGATCGTTTAATGAATGACCAGCCTGCTCGAATGCCATATCATGTTGGATTTTGCTGAGATAACTTGCTTTCCTCTAGTCTATACATGTATGATAGGCAACCTCTTTTAGTGACGTTGTTGCCGTAGATTGGCTTGCCCGCTTATTTGTATTAGTAAGGGTTGATCGTCAGGTCGTTCTCCCCATAGGATGATATTGACCCGAAGCATCCTGTGGGTTTCACATATCAACTCATTTTCATGAGATCGCTGCGGTGGTCGTGGATCAGCATAAAATGGGCTTATGATTCTCTTTCCATGGGATGATATTTTTTAGAAGCGTCCAAGGGAGCATCCTTGCATAAATCTGCTTATTCTTTTTGCAGATTGAGCATGTTTTGGCCAATAGCAGGGGCAGCTTGTAGTCTCGACTAACCTTGATAGTTTATCTCGACCCGCGAATGAGATTTACTATGCATGTCCTTGTTTGGCCTGGCGCCCCATTTTGCCTCACCAACCCAGCGCAATGATCGAACGGTTAAGCGATCATGATCAAGGATATGTTAGTGATCGCCTAAAAATTATCAGGCTGAGCACTGTGTCGGTACTTTCTAAGCCTAAGGAGAGAATTGGGTCAGATTTCATGGAGCACATTTTTGTGTGATCCTTCTTCAGCCCCCCAGCCTCGAGAGGGCCGCGATTACTTTAGGACCGACGAGCCATCTATCCTCTCGTTCTTGTAGATGGTGAGCTGGTCGATTTGTATTCTTGTCGAAGGTGGGTTAATATCAGGGTATGCCCAAAATTATAAATAAGAGCTTTTTTACTGGTGAGAAGACACAAAGAAAATATTTGGATACTTTTAGGAGGATTTCGATAGAGTAATTGGATGATCAAAGATGGAGGGGTCGGGTGAGCTGCCCATTCATCCGGCCGACGATAAGAAAAAGAAAGCGAGATATCGATGTTGCCAATTGCCTATTTTTCCGAGATTTGTATTCAAAAAGTGTATGATAAGGTTATAATTGTATATAATACGAGTATTGCACATGATCTTAGAAGATCAGCTCATATGAGGATGTGATTATGTGTTTATGCAATGATGTTGTTGTTGTGATTGTGGTTTTATGATGTTGCTTAGATACACGAAAAATGTGAAAGAGCATTAAATGCTAGATGCAAGCTAGATGCGTAGGGTGGCACTGTATGTATCCATGCAGTGCTCGACTTTTGAGGATGAGACAGATTGGGTGGTGCCATCAATGCCCCCAGCTTTATCAGTTCTCTGTTTATACTATAGGTGATCGTCAATCTTCCTCGAGGAGACTCTGAGGGCGATCGACTTCGATTGGGGGATCGACAAACCTAATCCTACGGTCCTGGGCCTTCGCGAGAAGGTTCATGCCCTTTGTGGGCCTTGTTTTATATTTTAGGCTGCGTATTTTGGAGGAGCTTTGTGTTCGGATATTTTTAGGTACAACAAAAATAATTCAAAACTCTAATTTTCACAAATCCCTCACCAAAAATTCCCAAATTCCTGCAATATCACATAAGATTACGTACTTTACTAATACATAATTAAAGGTCAATTTTACTTGGCGTAAACCTTACGTGTACATTAGAAAAAGGTGAAATTAAAAAACAGCACCCACAATTCTCCCTAGTCCCTTTATTTCTTTTCCTCCCATTTTTCTTCCTCCCCCCTCCTCTGTTGGAGCCATACGAACCCGGTGGTCTCGTTATAGCCGACCTCGAGGATGTTGTGGAGCTGGAGCAAGCAACGCTGGAAGTGCATCCACTCCAGGAGCTCCAGCGACTTTTGCTTGAAAATGGTGTCGTCGGTGTGAAAATGGTGTGGGGGGCGATCTGGTGGGAAGCCATTTGCTGCGGTGTTTGATTTTTATTTTTTTTCGATTTTGCCTTTCACAAACAAAAGCTGAAAGCCGTTGGGCCGCATGAACCATTTTTGGTTTTACCGGTTTTTGATCGGTTCAAAAGATTCGCAACTGATTTTCATCCCCAACGGTTTTATACATCAAACCAGTCAGGCGTCCTTGTCGGTTCCAGGTTGAACTGGTCGAACCAGTCGGTCCGTTCCAGTTTTTCAAACCATGATAAGAACTAATTATTTTAGGCCCAAATAATTAAGGGGCGCCAGCATCTTTTTCAACAAAAAAAGGGGTTATAACTTTTTTTACACGTCACATTTTTAATATTTTTTTCTTTCATCCAAATTGTGCATCGTTCAATATAATTGCACAATGACTATATATTGTATGCATGATCGCACAGTAACCAATACTATATATTGCATTACATGATCGCACAATCAATCGCACTTTGTAGAACGAAAAACATATAATTTTTCAATTGGCATGGTGAAAAGCCAAGTGCATTTGAATATAGATATTTTCATAATAACTATTTTTTCCAAAACGATATATTGTATTACTCCAATCAAAATAATTGTTTTATAAATTCGAAGACCAACTGGTCATTAAGAGCCTATCAAGGCAAATCTACACTGCAGAAACCTACTAATTACATCAAAAGAAAGCACTTATGTAACAGCACTAGACATCAATTTTGCAAGCTTCTGCTAGCAATGCTTCTTTCATTTGATCTAATAGCTAGCTGCAAACTTGACCACACAAAAAGAGAATTCAACCACTGCACTATAATTGGCCTAGTTGAACTCTCAGCAAAAATAACTCCAAACAGATAAAGCTGTACAAACAAGCTAAGAAACTACAAACAAGAATCTTGAAACTAAAACCAAAATAAAAGCAAAGTTAAGCTGGCACCATGCAAAATTCTCTCCATTCCTGTCCTGCTAAGTCTGCCACAGTTCTGTCCTCCATCCAAGAATCTTGGAACACCCACAGGTTCCTAGCTTTGCACAACCACCAGAGGATATAAGTAGAAAGTTGAATTCTTGCCTCTGAGGTTGCAGTCTTGTTCAGACCACACACTCATGTCCACCAAGTCTGAAAATTGTCTGTTCTTTCTTGCAATCCCTCCCATGAAACATGTGATAGTTTTCATATTCTTTTGGCTTTAATGTAGTGGAAAAAAAGATGTTCTACTATTTCAGGATACTCCCCACAACTTTTGCAGATACAGTCCACTTCCATTCCTTTTTTTCAGCAAATTGTATTTCACAGGCAGAGTGTTATTCAGGCTCTTCCAGAGAAAGTGTTTCAGTTTTTCTTTTACTTTGAGTCCCAACTTCTTACTCTACTTGCCTTTATTCTTTCTTGCCCTCTGCTACTCTCAGCATAGTCCAAGATTTTCCATTTGTCAGCCACCAACTTGGAGTAAGTTGAGAAAACTGTGAAAGCACCATTGGTACCACTGTCCCAAATTAATTTGTTATGCTGTGATGGATCCATACCTGAAATACTTAGGATATCCTGTGAGTCTGAGCTATTGAAGTGTCCCAATATCAGTTGAGTGTTTCATTGTCTTCATGTATGGTCCATTAGGTCTCTTACCCAAGTAAGATGGGTACCAACAGCAGGAGGAGGTGTAGAAGGTTTAAACCCAGACAAATTTGGAATCCAGGGGAATTCCCATATTTTCACTGATCTATCATCCTTTATTTCATATCTAGCACATGTACCCAGTGAGTCTCTAACCTCCAGCAGACTATTCCACAACCATGAATTGTTTGGCTTCTTTTTAACAGTGAACAAACTCTCTTGGTGGAAGTATTTTGCTTTAAGGACTTTGCTTACTAACAGATTTGGTTTTGTAAGTAGCCTCCAGATTTGTTTGGAAATAAGAGCTTTGTTGAACAAGAGAATATCCTTGAAGCCCAGCCCACCTCTGTCCTTTGGCAATGTGAGGAAATTCCATGACTTCCAATGTATACATTTATTCTGAGCATTTTCCTTTTGCCACCAAAATCCAGCAAAGGTTTGTGAGATTTTGTGGCAAATGGATTTTGGTAACAGGAAGCAGGACATAACATACAGAGGCAGTGCTGCGAGAAATGATTTCAGTAAAGTCTCCTTCCCTGCAAGAGATAAGAATTTATTTTTCCAAGAAGCAATTCTGTTAGCCACATTCTCTTGAATAAACTGGAAAGTTTGAGCTTTTGATTGACCAATACCCAAAGGCAGTCTCAGGTATCTCACAGAGCTGTGACAAGTGATACCAAGCAAAATTTGACAGATATGGCTTTGAACATGTGTGGGTGTGTTTTTACTAAAAAAGATGGATGACTTTTGCAAGTTTATTTGTTGGCCAGAGCATTGTCTATATTTATCAAGAATGCTGAGTATCAAATGAGCTTGCTGGGTGGTAGCTTGGCCAAAAATCAATGTGTCATCAGCAAAAAAAAGATGGGTTAGGGTAGGACCATTTGTGCAAAGTTTGAGACCTTTAAAGTTTCCTGCTTGTCTCTCCTGGTTGATGAGATGGAAAAGAATTTCTGAAATTATAATAAATATGTAGGGGGACAGTGGGTCCCCATGTCTAATTCCTCTGGATGGCTTTATGAAACCATGAGAAGCACCATTTAAATTGAAAGATAAGGCGGGTGAAGAGATGCATGCCATGATCCATTTGACAAAAGTAGGATGAAATCCCAGACATATCAAAGTATGCTTAACACATAACCACTCAACCCTATCAAAGGGTTTGGACATGTCAAGTTTAATAGCCATATAATAAGTGTTGCTTTGCCTATGCTTGTTAAGAAAACTAATAGCTTCCTGAGCAATTATGGCATTGTCCAATATTTGCCTATCTTTCACAAAGGCAGATAGGGTTGCAGTTTAGTGGCTAGAAGTTTATATATGATAAGTAGTGCCACATAGACTGATGGGCCTAAAGTGAGACACATGATCAGGATTAGCAATCTTGGGAATGAGAGTAATAAGGGTATGATTAAGGCTCTTAAGGATTTGCCCTGACTCAAAAAAACTCACAACAGCTGAATGCAAATCATGTTTGATTATATCCCAGAATTTTCGAAAAAATAAAGAAGTCATACCGTCCATGCCGGGTACTTGATTGATGGAGAATAGGGCTTGTTTGATCTCATCCATTTTTACTATTGCTGTGAGTTTTGTGTTTTGCTCCTCAGTGATTGGGCTGACAGACTGTGTAATATATCATCCCTTGGCTCTGGTATCTCTGATGTGAAAATCTCCTTGTAAAAGTCTTCAATGCATGCTGCTATTTCCCCCTCTTGCTCACAAACAGTTTGGTCAGCTCTGACCAGTGTATTGATTGCATTTCTCTTCCTTCTCTGAATTGTGCTTGCATGGAAGAACTTTGTGTTCTTGTCCCCTTCATTGAGCCAGGTAATTCGAGATTTTTGCTGCCATCATTTTTCTTCTTCCTTATGGATTTCAGCTAGTTGTTTGTTGAGAGAGTCCCATAAATACCAATCTTTTAGACCTCCCATGTTTCTCAGGGCAGTCAACTGGTTATCCAATTATGCAATCATTTTGGTTGTTTCTGATCTGAAACCACTGCTCCATTTTAGAAGGGCCACTCTTGTCAGCTTAATCTTTGAGAGGAAACAAAACATGGGGGTGCTTGTGGTTTCAGTGCTCCATGTTGTGACCCTTTTTGTTACGTTTTTCGTTAATGTTTTGTTATTCTTTTTTCCCTGTTTTAGGTATTTTAATTGGTTTTTAGTTCATTTTATAGTTTATTGTGTGTTTTGTTCTATTTTGGCTTTTTATGTGTTTTTCGTGTATTTTGTCGTTTTTCTACGTTTTTTTTCTTGTTTTTAGTGTGCAGCTTGGAAGCCCCGTGAGGAATCGATTTAGCTCAAAAACGGGTCAGGAAATCATGGTTAGATAGGTGGATTCTTTAGCTAGAAGTAGGAAAAAGCGGAATCCAATTTTGAGTTCAGACGAATCCAAACGGGCCGAAACGTAAAGTCCAGCAAACTACCACCCTTTGAAGGTTGGAAGACTCTAGAGGATTGTACTATGCGCAAAAGTTGAATTTGAAAGCATAATTGCGTAGAAGGCTTCGTTGGCGACGCATAGTAAAAAACGGAACTCAATTCCGAGTTCGGACGAGCTCAGACGAGCCTAAAACGTGAAGCCGCGCACTGCAGTCACGAGAGGATCCGCGAGACGCGAAAGTTTTTCTGCGCTCGGAAGTTGCGGCCGCGAGGCAAGTCGCGGCCGCAGAACGCTTCTTCGTCACGGGCAGCGGAACCTGGAATGTGCAGATTTTGTTGTTTTTCCTCATTTTACTCACTAGTGAAAGACATGGTCGGTTTTTGGGGCTTGTTTTGTGGATCACACACCTGAAAAAAAGGGGATTGAAGACTATAAGACATCCTCCATCTTCATGCTTGATCATAATCACCATCTTGGAACCAAGGGGAGTTCTCCCCCCTCTTCACCTATTTTGATCTTCTTCACCATCTCTTCTTTCTTTCTTGAGTTTTTCTTAAGTTTTTGCTTTGCTTTTTTGGAGAACTTATTGAAGACTTGTTGCATTTTGGAATTGACTTGTATTTTGTTGTTGACATTGGAATTCACATTAATAGTAAATTTTATTTTCCATTGTGTTTATGTTGATTATGGCTATGTTAAATGTGAATGTTGATGTTGAGATTGAAATAAGTAGCTAATTCCTTAGGTAGGGTTAAGGGATAATCATTCCGGTTTATTCTCGTTTATGTGCATGACGATAGCTCAATAATTACGAATTGATAAAATCATACTTGATAAATTTTTGTAACCTAAGAGTGACACTTAGGTTAATTTGTTGATATAATCGAAGAGTGACACTTCGATTTGTTATTGAATATTGATTTGTTGAGTTAGAGTTTATTAATTCTACGAATTATGACTTTTAGAACTGGAAGGGGATGAGTCGTAGAGATAATCGATTTCAAAACCGAGAAGGGAGAAATTGGTGGAACTTGACTCGTTTAGAGTAGACACGTTCGGAGACGTATTGTCTATGTGTTAATTGTTTCGTTAATTTGCTCTTTTATGTTTATCCTCATATTACGAGAGTTAGTGAGGTTAAACCGCTAAATGAGTTAATTAGTCGAGCTTTTTAACCGAGTTATTGATTGCCGTTAAATGTGTGTAGAACCGGAAACGATTATTCCCGATACCATAGCTCGTCTATCTTTTTATCGTTTATATTCTTAGGTAGATTATCGTCTTATGTTATTTCTTAGTTGATAATTTTTCAACCCTATCGAGATTAGAATGTGTAGGATTTATTTTGCTTTTATGTGTTATCGATATCAAAATTCCGAAACGCCTTCCTCGAGAAATCGAGCCGGAACACGAATCATTCGATTCGGTGCTTGGTAAAATAAAAATAATTTGCTACAACACTCCAGGTTTGTTCAATGATTTCACTAAGCCCTTGCTGGCCTAGCCAATTCTTGTTGAAACAAAATCTTTTTCTTTCAGTGCTGGTAGCTGAGGTTAGGCTTAGAAGAAGTAAACTATGATCTGATGAACTTCTGTCGACATTTGCAACCACTGCATTTGGATAGAAACTAGAACATTGCAAAGATCCAAATATTCTATCAATTTTTTCCTCTACAAATCCCTCCCCAATTCTATTGTTCCCCCAAGTATATTGGTAACCCTTCCACCCAAATTCTTGCATTCCCATTTGCCCCACAAACTCTTTGAAAGGAAGCATTGAACTTTCAGCCCTACTTCTACCCCCTCTCTTGTCAGCTGCTTGGAGAACATCATTCCAAGCTCCCATTTCCCACTCTCCATAACCAGACAGTCCCATTGAAGTATCCTAATCCTCTGATCTGTACTAAGATACACAAAAACTCCCCACACATTGCAAGCTTTCATTGGATCCCAAAATTCAACTTGAATACAAAAACTAAGATTAATAATCTGCTTAATATATATATATAGAATCCCTTCAAAATAAAGCTAATCCTACACTCCTACCTTGAGGTTCTACTGTTGCCCAATTCCCTTCTATGCCCATAGACCTACTAACAGTATTTACAAAATGAGAATTATTTTTGGTTTCAGCTAAAAATACCAAAATTGGGTGGTGGAGTTTCCACATCTCCTTGAGTTGGGAAATTGTAGAGGGCCCACCCAACCCTCTACAATTCCAAATGAATGAGATCTGGGTGCGACCATTTAAGGCTGGCCTCTCTCACCTCCATTGAATCTGCTTTCTGTTTATTGGACTGATGAAGCTCCTCTGATATTTGCAGTGGTTCCTGAATGGATAATTGCCTTTTCCCTCTGGCAGCTATGGCTGGAATGGAATCTGGGTTTATCTGTGTTTTATTTTGATATTTTCTTCTCCAGCCTTTTTTAGCCGGGATAGATGGTTCAGCTGGTGAAGGTGTTTGGCTAACAGGATGAGGGGCGAGAGTGATGAGTAGAGGCCAGGGTTGGCCTGGTGCTGTGGGATGTAATTGTGAGTATGGCTCTTCAGTTTCCATTTGTATTGGGGTAGGTTCTTTGCTGGCTAGAGGAGTTATTGTGGGAAATGTGGTAGGTAGTGTGGTGGGAGTTGAGTTTGGTGCTGAGGTTTGCGAAAGTGTGTGAGGGCTATCTGTTGTTTTTTGATTTGGAGTGGTGATGTTGGGTTGAGAAGGGGTAGGGTTATTACTGGTTTCAGAAGATTGCTTGCCATTAGCATTGTTGGTTTTTGGGGGTTCCGAGGTTCCACTGAACTGTGGGGAAGATGGTGAAAGAGTCTTGAACTCTGATCCAGTCTCCAAACATCCCTTTAGTCAATTTTCCTTCAGCAATATCTGTTTCTCTCTTCTCGCAGGATCTATCAAAATGGCCTAGCCTTCCACAATAATGACAGACATTTGGCAACTTCTCATACTTGAAATCAACAATAACTTTCTTACTTCCCAGTTGGATGCTAGCACATCTAGAATTCTGATGCATTTTCCAGCTAGGAATCCTCCTTCATGCCCACCTCTTCAGTTGACTGGAATATTCCAAATTTGGACCCATACATCCAATTCATTGAAAATTGGATGTTCTGGTGATAGGTCTTCCTCCCAATGAGCGACTGATTTTCGAAGCTCCTTTTGCCACTTTTTGTTTATCTTCCACATCCTAGAATATAAATTGGAAAAAGTTGGAGCTGATGCTTACTGTACCTTTAATCTGCCAAATTAGGTTAATCGTGCGTCTGATTCCTGCTAGGTGGGCTGTTTTCTGACCAATGATTTATCCGAAAAGGCTTTTCTGACATGCCTCCGACCCCGGCTGAACATCTTCATTCTCAATCGGGATAATATTTGCTTCCTTTTCCGACAAGTGAAAGGACCCTAGTTATGAACAATATCCTCGCCTTCTTCCATATAGTATGATGAATATATCAAGAGCCCTAATCTGCAAACCCGATCCAAACAAAACAGAAAAGAAAAGGTAATAGAAATAAGGTGAAAGAAGATGCAAAAAAGACAAAGACTCACTGAAGGACTGGTGATGCCTTATGCAAGGAAATGGGGATCTGCATAGCACAGTAATGTTAGCCCTAAAACGAGGAATCGGTGCGAGAGGAATCTATTTTCATAATAACTAACATCAACACAATCAGTAGTGAGCATATTTTTGAGCAGTTAAATGTGTTAATTAAACTATATAACATTAGTTGTCATGTCTCATTTCCTCCCAACTAACTGAATTAAGAAATCAAACACTTCACCACAACAGAGAGGATAAGATCATAAACCAATGCTAGGAGACACTATTTAAATGGACAAACACATAATTGATTAAAAAACCAAACACTTCACCACAACAGAGAAGATAAGATCATAAACCAATGGTAGGAGACACTATTTAAATGTACAAACACTTAACTGATTAAGAAATCAAACACTTCACCACAACAGAGACAATGCTAGGAGACACAATTTAAATGTACAAACACATAATTTAATCAATTAGCCCTTTCAATTATTCACACACTAACAACTAATTAGCCTCACTTGAAAGAAAAAAAAAATGTGAGCGCAAAAATAACAAAGACAAAAAAACAAAAAACCCTAAAAAGAATTACTCAATCTACCGACGACATTCCTACGCCACGGTCAATAACGCCGGCGATAAACGCCATAGCTTTGACTTGCATTTCCAGGGCGGCAATATAATCGGCCGTCTCTTCTAAAAGGCTCGGGAGGGAAAGCTTCCGGCAGCCGGGGACCAACCCGCCCAAGGCCCGTACTTTCCTCTGCAGCGGCGGAGGTAGTTTAACTTGGGCCGCCGGTTTTCTTGGCCCGGCGTCCGGTCTAGCGGCCCGCCTGTGCTTCCTCCTTATCTGAGAAAGCCGGAGGCCGAGCCGGCGGGTCATCAGCGCCCGGCTCCAGCGTGTCCTGCCCCTGGCGGAGACGGCCAGGACCCGGTCGGCGGCATCCCGGACGGCGACGACGGTGGAATCCGAGCGGCGGAGGGACCGAAGCGCGTCGGCCAGCCTCGACGAGTAGATCCGCTGCTCGTCCGCGGTCTTCCATCTCGACCCGGAGGGAGAATTCGACCCGGTTGTTCTTCGCTTCTTGCGAGGCGGGTGGGGGTTCGTGACGGAATTCGATATCGAAGGCTGCTCCGCCATTACAGTATCTTCGATTGAATCTGATTCAACGTTATCGGATTAAATGAAACAGAAAAGTAAAAATAAATGTTGATAAGAAAAATCTGTAGGAAATGAGATGAGAAAAGGATGATAGTAAGTGCGGATTATATAGAGCCATATTACCTTATGGAGAGGTCCAAAACGGCGTCGTGGTGGGGGGAAATGGTTGGTTGTGCAATAATTTAATTCAATAAAACAGTGGCAATAATTTGTTTTATTTTATTTTTTACAAAATAAAACAATGTTATCTGGGGATAGAAAGGGTATGGAGATAGAAAGGGGGGATTTATGAGAGGGAGAGGAAAGGTTGAAAGGTATGGAAATAGCAGTGGAGGTGTGAGGGCCCTTATGTCGTTTTATATCATTTCAG